TAAAGGAATTTATTGATAGGAATTCCATATGTGCAGGCAAGTAGGGTTGTATTCGTATACACCCTTGATTATCGAGATAATAATTGAGTGACTGTGTCTAAACCATAGATTTGATTATTTTTATATAATTTACAGTGAATGGAAGAATAAGAAGGGTGGTTTGTGTTACTTCTGGGGGTACCACTGTTCCTTTGGAGCAGCGGTGTGTTCGTTACATTGACAATTTTAGTTCAGGTCACCGAGGAGCTTCATCTACTGAGTATGTTTCTTTATCTCTTTTCCCAAAAAAGAAAGGGTTTTGCTATGGGTATTCTTCTTTGATAACTATGCCGTATGGGTCTGATTCACCTAATTTTTCAAAATGCTAAATTGTGTGTGAACTTCCAGATACTTTGTGAAGGCTGGATATGCAATCATCTTCCTTCATAGAAGGTGAGAAAAATGCATGTGTGCCACTATGTCATCTTGTTAATATATGGTTCATTTTAGATGCATGGTGGTCAGTTATATTTCTTTTGCATTCTTATGCAGGGGAACTTATCAGCCTTATCGTAGATCTCTACCGGAGGATACACTTTTGGATTGTTTTGAGCTCACCTCTGGGTCGCAAATTCAAGGTCTCTACAGTCTCAATAATCTTCAATATCACAACTCAGAAGCTATTTATATCCTGGTGATTTTATAGTGTTTCTTTTATTTTATTATACTCTCAAAAGGAATGGTTATGGTGTTTTTTTTTTTTCTTCTCCCTAAAGGAATGGTTATCGGTCCAAATTCCAAAAGTTTCTAGCAGGCTGATTGGTGGACAGCACTTGAAATTATTCCATTTCTACTGTAGCTCTGTGTCACCTATGATCGCAGAGACCCTTCAGTTTAAAGCTTTGCCAATAAGTGTTGATTTTTTGTAGTACTTTCTCAACTATCCACTCTTTGCCTTGCACCTGGGGTTTTCACTGAACTCTGTTTTGTATTTCAGCACGTTCATCTCATGCTGAAGGATTGGAGAGGGCAATAAGAGATCACCAGGCTGTATGCAGCTTACCTTTTATTCTTTTTGTTTATCACACATTGACTACTTCTAATGAATACTTTTTTTAGGTTTCTAATGTTTCGATGTTTCATTTGCTGACCCATTTGCATTAGAATCTATGTGTTTGTTGGAGGAGAAAAAAATCATTAGGGAGTTTCTTCTGATGCAGGCAGTGGAAGCAGGGTGTTTACTAAGGATTACTTTTACCACTATCTTTGAGTATCTTCAGGTAGTCAGATTTCCATGACATGTTTCAAGTTGCTAAGGCCGTATATTGAGAAATTTGATATTGATCATAATGTGTATCAAAATTCAAACTAAGGCTGTACATTGAGATATTTGATGTGGAATATTACTTAATGCATTTCAGGTATTTGTCAGTGAAATTATGTTCTTTTCCAATTGTGCATAAAATATTTCTTGAACCATTCCCGTCTTAAAGCAAAAATATATGTAAAATGAATGGATTGTCTCTCATGATGTTTTGCAGGATATAACCCTCCAAAATGTTCAAGTATTTCATAGATACACTTATGTTGTGTCTTAGCTTTTAATTTGATTGGTTTGTGTATTAGTCTGATGAAGTCAGTATTGATTACCCACTTCCAGTGATTTATAGTCAGGAAGTCCAAAACTTTACAGCCCATGCACATGCACACATGTGTGTGCGTATGCATGACAAACATACACACATAGTGCTTATATGAGCTTTAGATTTGTGGAACGACCATGGGTGCTACACCTAGCTGCTTCTAGCTTAAATCAAATATGAGGAAACCTTGGATACATTCACCTTTTTTACCATGACTTCCCTACTAGATTTAATTTGTTAAATGATCCAATGGTTTTTGCAGTGATATCTTCTTTATCAGCCTATCCAGCTTTAGAACATACTTAATTTAAGAAAATCACTTGGCCGTATCCCACTTAATGCATATGCATCAGCAATTATGAATGCATTTACCTTATTATTGTTTAGTTGGTTTTAAAGTTTGATTGACTAATGTATTGTGTATTCGTTCTTTTTGGGTAAGTTGGTTGGTGGATTGCATTATGTGCATATATCACTTTAAGCTTCAAATTTTTTTTTTTCACTCTAAAGTTAATACGACGTATATATATTTTAGCCAGACCATCTGATAAATTGAATGAGCTCTTTTCTAATGCAAGAAAGAATTTCCCTTATTTCAGATTTTACGCATGGTTGCAACATCAATGAACAGTCTTGGGACACATGGAATGTTTTATCTTGCTGCAGCGGTGTCCGACTTCTATGTTCCTTGGGATTCCATGGTAGGAGAGATTGTCTTTTAGATATATGATCGAGGAAAGTAAACTATAACTCGATGAGATTGGTAAAATGGCATCTTCTTGGAGAAACATGTTACCTAAAATTTTTCAATCATGAGAAGGAAAAATATTGTACAATGGTCTTAACAATACTATTTGTGACATCTTGTAGTCTCTCTATTATCCTTACAAAAGAAAGACATAGGATTTTTTATGATTTCTGATTTATGTGTAGGCAGAGCATAAAATACAGTCTGGAGCTGGTCCTTTGGATATGAGCCTGGCTCCAGTCCCAAAAATGCTCTCAATGTTGAGGAAAGAATGGGCTCCAATGGCCTTCTGTATCTCCTTCAAGGTTACCCCTTCCCCAACCACCACCCATCTTATTGAATTGTTTTTGGTTAATGCTCTCTCTCTCTCTCTCAGTTCTGTGTTTTTGGTTAATGAATTTTTCCGTTTTAGGAATATTGATTTTGCCTGAATTACTTGTTCCCAGCTCTATGTTTTCTGAGAGATAATGTTTACAAATGTTGGTTACTGGTAAATCCTGGAATGCGTCTGATTTTTACTTGTGTAATGACATCATGGAAACTTGATTCTATTTGTTTGTTTCTTCATTGGCCTTTCAGCTAGAGACAGATGCTAAGATTTTGTTAGAGAAAGCCAACATAGCGTTGAGGAAGTACAAAGTGCATATGGTTGTGGCCAATGAGCTCTCGACTCGTAAAGAGCAAGTCATAGTCATCACCGGCAATGATGTGATCACTGTTCAGAGAGAGAATCCCCACTCCGATGTGGAGAAGCCACTCGTGGACCTCATTGTGGAGCGACACATGGCGCACACTCAGCAGTCAAGTGATTTGAGCTCTATCTAGTCAGTCCCTTGTGCCAAAGCTACAAAATTAAAATCAGATTCTTTTTATTTCTTTTCTTTGTCCAAATAAAATGGTCAAGTGGAAATAATTGACCTGTTCATGAAAATGTATAAAATGTTCAAATTTTCCTATAGATGTTGGGAAATTTTGTGCGCAGCGCAACTTTACCCTAGTGGTTCTTTGTAATATTTTGGCAAAGCTGAATAATTCTTTGTAATTGAAGAACAGAGAAGCTACAGCAGTTTTCACTAGCTTCCGATCATACTCACACATGATCGCATATATTCTGCCCCTTTGTTGCTTCCAGTGAAGTGATTGGAGCTTTCTCAAGTACTGGCTCAACCAGTCAGTAGAAAACAAACATGAAAGGAAAATTGTTTCATGCGGGTTGGACCGCATTTTTACATATGCCGTCCAAAAAGTGTAAAGCATCTATTTTAAAGATGGATGCAAGTAGGTGTTCTATCTAAACACAATGGAAACTAATGGTCCAGATGTTTTCTTACTAGAATTATTATTTTTAGTTTTTAAAATTTATTTATTTATTTGTATTCATGATCTCCATATTAAAGATTACATGTCCTTAAAATTAAGTCTTAAAATCCATCTCAAAAATAGATTTATTAAGGGGTACAGTTGGCATACGGATGCATTTGTAGCTGTAGAGGTAAGGTGCACTTTCATATTTTATAATGGTATATAATTTTGATGTAAAATGTTCTTAGGATTATCTTAAAATCTATTTTATATCTAGTTATAAAATTTTAAATTTGAAAAATGGTTGAAATCAAGTAGATCTATGAACATATGAAAATCTTGAAAATGGACAGTGTAGATAATATATTGTAAACTATACTATTTATGAGATTTAAAATCTTTTTATTTTTCATGGTTATACAACTCGATGGTCGAGATGATCAAAGGGTTTTTCAACATTAAAACTACTTTTCCGATGGATTTTTGAGGTGCATCCGTAGTTCTACATTACAAGGTTGCATCCTTATATAAACTTTTTCTTTATTAAGAGACCTGCATTTCCTACATTGTGGGCTTGCCCGCATAGAAACTGGGTCCAACCAGAAATGCAGCATAACCAACACAAAGCGTCCCTAGGAACTTTTATTTCCTTTGAATGGGTAGTTCTCATCTTGAGATCCATCATAAACTAGCTGCATATTACTCTTATTGGTAATCACTGGTTAATTAGAGGCAGGATTATTTTTCTAAAGCCGAGTTTCTTATCATAATCTCGGAGTAATAAATTTCGGTTTATAGTTTAACCATGATTCATGAGAAACTTGTTTGTGTCTTTCGAATGGGAGGTTCTCATCTTGATTGTGGTTATTGATAATAAATATTTAATTAGAGCAGGATTGATTTTTTCCAAATCGAAGTATCTTGTCATAATTTATAGAGATAAATTTTCTGTTTAGGGTTTGGTGCTGGTTTATGAGAGTTGGTTAATGTTAAAGATAGTTTTATTTAGCAAATTTTTATAATCACTTCTGTTTGACAATGCCATAGATCATTATGTGTAAAGACAGTGTTTACAAATTTGAAGACTCGGCTCAGGACTCATCAGATTTGGCTTGGCTCTGAGCCTTGGGAGTCCTAGGCGAAACCTCGACACCCAGGAGTCCCCCATTTTTGAAAGAAATTACTAATCTCTTTGTTTAAAAATTACCTGCCGGAATCGATACTCGTCTGTGTCGGACTGGATGACTTATGATTGGGACCTTGACAAGTCCCAGCCCAAGCCCTTGTTTTTTGAAACTAATCGAAAGGCTAACGAGTTTCTAAATCATAGCACTGCATTGATGGAAATGACATTCTCAACTCAACCAGCTCAAAGAGTCGATGAATCAAACTCAAAACAGTCGAGGATCATACCCCATTTATGCATGGGCAGGGATAAGTGATTTCCCCACGATCTAATTCCTAAATATATGTATATAACAATCTATAGGGGAAGTTTATCACAACAATATCAAATAGTACATCAATTGCATACTTAACCGTCTGTTGTCAATAATGGTGGATGGTTGAATATGGATTTAGCACACTTCACATAACTAGGGATAAGCGGTTTGGTATGCATTTAGCAAACTGATGGTATGCCAAGTTCCAATTTTTCTTTCTTATATCTTTCTGTTTGGAAGGAGGTAAATGCAATATCCTTTAGAATGCTCACTGCCAGTGTTTTAAAACCCATCCATTTGGATCGGGGTTCGCCAATAAGGACCGGGAATAGGCTGGACAAAACCGAATCAGGGAAGATAGTGGCCCTAGCTTGTCCCTCCCTAAAACCCCCTGTTTCATTTTTATTTTATTTTTTAAGCTTATGTAATGTTTTTTAAGGACTTGCCTAAATCCCTACCCCATAAACGCATATTTTAATTTTTTTTTTGTTGTTTTCTATCTTCTAATATTTTCAGGTATGCAATTTTAGACTGATCCATACTGATCTGGATTGGCAATTTGATGATCTTACACAGGTCTGTGAGGTGGATGCTGATCTGGGTTTTAAAACACTGCTCACAACATATACATGCTCATGTTGATTTTCTATTTTCTATTTTTTTTCCAGATATTTATTAAGGTAACCTCAGAAGGCTAGCTCAAGTTTGGATTTTTTGGGACAAACTTTTTAGCATTCGAACCCTTGACCGCCCTCACCGAAATCGATATTTCTGCCACTAAGCCGAAGCCTTAAGGCAAACAAATTCTTATAACAAGGTTTAATGGTTTGTACTTTTGTAAGATGCTGAATAAGAGTTTCTCTCATTCATTAGTGAAATCGATATTTTAGCATTCGAACCCTTGACCGCCCTCACCGAAATCGATATTTCTGCCACTAAGTCGAAGCCTTAAGGCAAACAAATTCTTATAACAAGGTTTAATGGTTTGTACTTTTGTAAGATGCTGAATAAGAGTTTCTCTCATTCATTAGTGAAACCAAATACAATAATAATGAGGATCAATACCATACAAAAGCAAAGCTTCAGTATATCATTTCCATATATTTACATGGGCCCGAGCCTGACCATCTTCTCTCTACATTATAGTCCCCTGAAAACCTCGAAAGGACCATATAGCAGCTTTTGATGCAAGAAGGTTCCAATGGAGTGGTTTACTCTTCACTTCCAAGAGCCAAAGGACACATAAGTTGTGTATAATAAATTTCTGCTCTTGCTTTACTCTGATACATTGGTTTATGCTCCATCTTCACCTTCGTTCTCAAGTTCGAGGCCTTCAGCAGCAAGAAGCTGATCGAGAACCTTCTTCTGATCTTGATTGGCCCTTCTTCTCATTATATCCCTTTTCTTCAGGACAAGAGTGTGCCTTTTCAAAGTATTTGAGACGTTCTCCATGGATGCCTTCTTCTCTCTGGCCAATATCCTCCTCTCTTCCTCTGGGTCAATCTGAAAAAGCAATAAGTAATATGAATTCGAGTCTCATGGGTTCACTCAGTTTGGGCCTGACGTGTGATATGTGTTTACTTCAGACCAAATGCCATTGCTTGGTGTGACAAACAATATCAAAATGGCAAGTACATCTATGGGTAAGAACTGTTGCAGTGGTCCAAAATGTTATTTTCTTTTTATTAATATTATATTTTTTGTTATCAATAGGGGTTCCAAAAAATCATAATGATGCAGTGGTTCCTTTATGATTATTATTATTTCAGAAAAATCCAATTTATCACCTCATATATTTGATTTCATAAACGTAATGCATACATTTTCCCAACTATTCATAACCCCAGGATAGAATTAATACAATCAAGCATGAGGACCTGCCTAAATTCAAAGAATAGTTCCTTCCAATTTTGGCTTTGAAAGGTTTCTCATCGAGAACTCAATTAGTAACTATACAAGAAGGACGTCCAACAATTTCTCCCATCAGATAGAAAATGCAACAAGTAGTAACTATACAAGAAGGACGTCCAACAATTTCAAGGAGATCTTGTCAGAATAAATAGCATATAACTAGAGTTTATTCACAAAGACAGGATCCATGATATTTGAAATCTAAAGGAAAGAAAATTTCAAACATAGTCCTTTTTATTTTATTCCTGACATGATATTGAAATTTCAAAAGTCCGCATAAGATGTCGCAATGACACAGAGCTTGTTCAGTTGTACCTTTGATCGGGAGAGACGGCGCACACGAAGGTTCATTTCACGCTGCTGCTGCTCTGCCCAAGCAGCAACAGCCATGTCACCTCGCTGATCAAATGCTTTTCGCTTTTTTATCAGCCACTCCATCCATGCTTCAGAAGCCTGAAGGAAAGATCACAAATAAAAAGGATGTTCCCCTTGCCTACTTAAAGTCTTAAACAACAAGCTTTATGAAAATCAACCAGGAGTCACAGTACAAGAGAATTTACTTCACCGTAGTTCTTCCATATCGATGTTCGAAGATGATTTTGACAGTAGAAACATATAATCCTAACTTTCTGCGTACAAGCATGCAGACCCAAAGCCTAAGATCTTGCTTCTCTTTTCTGTCTTAAATCTAAAAGATTCAACGCACTACTATTAATTCTGATGAGTTTCTACATCCATCCTAGACTCTGGAGTCAATGCTTGTACCCGATAAGGTAAAACCTGAAGCAAGTTAGTATGACTTGCAGCTGGCATAAACTTCAAAGGTTCAAACCCTTGACCTCCCTAAGGCTCACGGATGTCTACCACTAAACCACAGCCTAAGGGGCAAATTCTGACAAGATAAATCATTATATTTTCAAAAAAAAAAATCAGTATCTGGTGCAAATACTATTGCCTAGGGATCTCTGACATTTTTTAACACGGAATTTTTTCTTTTTCTTTGTTTAATAGAATGTAACAAGGACGTTTTCAATCTAGTGATTGTCCATTATAAAATCCCTAGAAGGTAACCTGAAACTAAATTGTCAGCAGCTTTATGAATGAAAAAGTGCATAAGATCGAAAAATGGAACAATATTATGTATGAAGGTGGGGGAGAATTTACTTTCTGTTTCTTTCAAACCATAAACCAGCTGAACCACTAAATGTAAACAAGAATATGTACTATAGACAACTAATTACATCAAAACTACCCTAATGGCAGGTCAGCTCGACACAAATGTTAACTTGTTTTGTCATGCTTACCTGAACTATCCAACATACCAATCATGTGGAAGTACAGCTACTTTTCCATTCTTAAGGTAAACAATCAATTTTCCATTGTCATTCTACTACTTTAGTGAATAGCGAGAAAAGAGAAAAACAGGAAGCAAAACCAATGGAAGCATAGAATGTAGTAATATCTCCCACATGCTTCTTACCAACTAACAGGGAATATCACATTAGACTTCAAATATACCTGAAATATTTTAAAAACTAGCCAATATATGCACATGTTTAGGTATGCAATGCAATAGTATTATAGCTAAACTTGATTGGATAAAGCAGGCAGTGGTGTTTCTTAATGATACTTAAAAACAAACTTGCGATATTTAATAAGATTTATTTGGTTATGCCTTCATAGGATTGACGCGATGCTCATTATCATATTGTTGCCTCTTCTCCTCATCTATGAGTAGTTCATAGGCAGCCTGTATCTTGATGAAGCGTGCTTCCGCTGTTTCCCCTTCCTCCAGGGTCCCCCTACCATCATATACTAAAACAACAGAAAAGAAACAATTAATTTCCTAACATGATGCCTTCACCAAAATGAAATCCATGGATAAAAGTACACAAATCTTACCATGAATTATCAGGTTTATTTATTTCTTTAAGATGAAGAATGCAGACCAAAAGATATTTATTTCCAGAACCCAATCAACATGAAGCAACCGTAAACATGCACCATGAGGCTAGCCCATTAAACTTTCATAGTAATGCATGGACTTATGGTTATGCTAACATGCGTATTATATAAGATAATGTTTTAGAGAAAATAAAAAAATGTATATTTTTTGTTGATCGGTTCAAAGCTGACCCCAATTAGTTGGGAAAAGGTTTTGAAGATGATGATGTTTTTGATTGGTTCAAGTGGATGGCTCAAAAAAGTTAAAGGGATAAGCCCAAAAGGATGAGGTTGGAAGTGGTGAGAAAAGATATGGGGACTAAAGGTCTCACTGAGGGTATGGCCCTCAATAGAGCAGAATGGCGGATCAAGATTGGTGTAACTACCCCAAATAGTTGGAAAAAGGCTCTGATAATGATGATGACAATGATTTTGTTTTTGATTGGTAATTGTGTTTTATTCAACAAAATTGATTTACATGTGTAATCAGCATGTACAAAATTGAGTCTATGTACTACTGCTACATCAGACTCTATAAACTAAGAAAGAGGTCAAAATTCACAACCCAAAATGATTTGGAGACACTCGCTCTAGCAAGCGGGTTAGCCCCTCCATTCGCTTCCAAACATGTGTGAATTCAGCATTCAATTATCCAACTCATTTGATTGACAACTGTAAGAGACAGAATTGCTTGCCACCCAAAAACATAACTTTTCACATGTTGTGATTGAGTTGTTTCCATGCTAACACTCTTTTATATACCTAGTATCTGTCATTACACAGATCAACTCTGTATAAAATGAAGGATTATTAGAAAAAAAGAAAGAAAGAAAACTCAGAATGTGGTGTGGTTGAGGACATTGTTTTTCTGATGGGTACTTATAGACCAAGATTTTGTTTACCAGTTATATACCAATATTGCAGAAACATTATTCTGATCAAATAATTTTTTGTTTGAGAAATTGTTAGTTCGTGTGAGAGAGCGTGCATTATTTTCCCTCACTTTGGAGCTAGATATGTTCCAGAATAAAAATGCCAGTCCGGTCTATCAGAAGTTGTCTTGTCTTTGTATTTCCTCGGCCAAGGGTAATTGCTTCTTCCAAATCATCATATTCTGTTCATCGTTGTGCTTCATTCCCCCACATGAAAACTTGGATAAATCCTGTACTTCTTAGGGGTCATTTGTAATCATTACAAGTAGGTAGTGAATCTAGAGACAAAATTACTCATCCCATATGCCCAGAAATGAGACCAATGTGAAAAAAATGTTTTTTTTTGCTAAGCCATGCAAAAAGAAGTCCTTATTAGTAAATCATATATACAATAGGACTCCCCAGACTAAAAGAGAATCGGAACTTTCTCCATCTACCAAGAACATCTCTCTTGAGACATTAAGCTGAACGTACACGTTATCACTTAATGAAACAGATCGGTGTAATATCCATCGACTGAACCAACAACGCCTTAAGGCGAGTCAGGTGCTGAGAACCAAATGAAGAACAATTAATATATTTTACAAGAATTAAGATACATTTGACAACTTACTCCTAACTTTGTAGAAACGAAAAGCCTTCCCTTTGCCTTTAAGCAAAAGAAACAAAAGTAGAAGAACGCTAACATAATCCCGAACATAGGTATACATAATGAGTCTAAATGTGATGTAATGATCCAAATACAGGAGGAAATGAGGAATTTTTACATGGACAAAATGTGGGCTCTTGTCATAGCCTAGTATGTGGAGTCCTTTATCTCAATCTCTAGGTTGCAGGTACAAGTCCTAGTTACCAATAAAAAGACAAAGAACAGGTAGAAGACGATTTCATTAGCAGCTCAATGAAAGTATCAAACACCAGCACCACATCATCACCAATTGTAGTATATGAACCAATTACCGAAACAACAGCCTCATCTATAATATATGATTATGTATTAATCTCAGAACTTAAACAGGCATGGATGGAGATCCAAACCATCAGGATGGTAATATTTCGCCAAGCGTCTATATGCAAACTTTATTGCTTCCTCATCAGCATTTCTTTCCAATTCTGTTCAATGACACAAGAAAAAACAGAAC